ACACACACACACACACACACACACACACACTCTCATACACACATACATTCACACATATACGTTGCACATTCCAGACAGACTGCTATAATGACATTCTTTTCCCCTCTCACAGCTTCATCTTCTGGACTGACCGTGGAAATGTGCCAAAAATAGAACGCAGCAACCTGGACGGTTCTGAGCGGCTAGTGGTTGTGTCCACTGAGATGTCCTGGCCTAATGGCCTGGCTGTGGACCGAGTGCGGCGCTGGCTGTACTGGGCCGACTCTAAGAAAAAGACCATCGAGGTGGCCAAGTACGATGGCACACGCAGACAGACTCTCTACTCAGCTAGGATGTGTAAGTTGAACATAGAAGAGACTCCTTTGCGCTGTATTTCTTGCATTGTGTGGGTTTGTATGCCCCTTTCCAAGTGGGTGGGTGGTGGATGCTTTACTTACTTTACTCTGTGTTGGTCCTTCTGTCGAATATCTTTTGTCCATTTTTTTTCTCCCCCCCCCCCTTTTTTGTGTTATTCTTTTATAACACCTCTCACGGCGCATTGGCAGTGGAATTTTAGTTGCCGCGGGGGGTTCCACGCCGTGCGCCTTATCACGTCGGGGTCACTAGGGTCAGCTCCCTGTCGCCACTCTGTCTGGGCCGACTTAATTTTTGGTACTTTTCAACGTACAATTTAAGGTGTATCCTTGTATTTATGGTAATTCTCATTTTGTGCACCCAAAGCATGCGTTTCTGCTCTTGAGACTCAAAAAAGAACGGATGTTGTAACTTGTCTGGTTATTTTGTTAGACGCGCTGGATTCTGCAATGCTAAATTGTAAATTTTTTTGGACCAGCTTGAATGAAAAAAATCAATATTAAAAAAGGCTTCGTATAAATCTGTCGAACTTTTGGATCATGAACGACATAGCATTGGTGCAGATACTCAGAAAAGGTGGTATCTGCGCTTATAATAGAAAGCTGTAATTTTGCAATTTCATCCATCGGGCACACAATTCGCTATGAAGTAATTCCTTCAAATACAACTTTATGTGTCTAATATAATCGTGAATATTCGCATATTTTCTCGAAAGTTTATAAAAGTTACCTTGAAGTTTCTCTATGAAAAGTACAAATCGATTTTAGTGCTAGAATACTTCTTCAATGTAGATCTAATACACAAACAGTATCTGTTACACTCCAGAAATTTCTTACTTTTCTTAAAACGCTAGGTCTAGGTTTTGTAAGTTGACTGAATAACAGGGATGACTTCTTGTAACTGGATTATAAGATAATTACTAGCTTTCCAGGGACACTGAATCAGCACCAGACTTTTCCAGCTTTATTTTTCGTTTCTATGACAATAACTGGCAATGTGACTGATTTCTTTACATTCATAATTGTGTCCACGCATGTTTCCGACTCAAAAACTAAGAATGAATGTGTTAGCTGTCATTATTTTTATTCCATACAAGAAGTTTATCTCTACCCATGTATTTACACGGTTTTGTGGTTTTTTTAATGGCTTGTATCTTTTTAGTTGTATGCACGCTGCCACAGACACAGCATGATTCTTGAACAAACGCAGAGTAACTTTCTCTTGTTTAATAGTAAAATAAGAGCTAACGCTGATCGTCTTTAGTTAAAAAATGCAGATGTGCATCTTTCTTCTCTTATAACTTGACTATTACTACTCGCGCAGATTTAAGATTTCTCATGGTAAAAGACATGATATTCGTAGTCAGTTTAAAACAGATTTTGGAGAGATCTGTCGAGCCTTTTTAAAATTAGCAATTATTTATTCATAAGTTTGTAACCAAAATAGGACAAATTGGGTACTCTACAAACACTTGTCTAGAACAAAAACTAAGGCACAGAAATTAACCTTTCTAACGCAGAATAAATCTCAAGACATTGAGCTTTCAGTAGATCCGCGTAATGGTTTGCTATGTGGGATGGTTATATTGTTTTAAACGTAGTCAAAAATGCGAACTTCCTGACCCACACTGGCAAAGTCGCTTTAGGGCTCATTAACCCCGTGACCCCGAGCTGGGGAGCTCCGGCGGGCTGCTGAGTCACGCTAACTAAAAGTAACAGAATTGGGCGAAGGAATAATAATATTAATAATAATAAGTAGTCGTTAATAAATAGCATTTGTATAGCACATACTCCGCTCAACAGCAAGCTCTATGCACTTTACACCATCTCATTACCCCTGCTGACCGTAGAACACTCAGAAATATTCTCAGCTTCCCGGGAAGCTTACAATGCAAGCAGCTGATTAAGCGCACAAACTCTGGATAACAGGTGTTAACTTATTGATGACATTTGTCATAATAGTGGGTGTGCTCTCAACCCTTGTGCATTCTCCTGTTTGTCTAGTGCTTGTACGATTTTGGTTAATTTTGTTTTGTTTATGTGGGTGGTTGGTGAGTGCTCTGGTGTGGTTTGCTCCTTCTTTCCTATCAAACATCTATCGTCCGTATCTCCTGTTCTTCTTTTTTATGTTTGTTACTCTCTCGTAACACCTCTAATCTTCTGGCACTCATATGACCTTATGCTGTTGCGAGCGCCGTAAAACCTCTACTAAAACCAAACTTGTTTTGTTTTCTCTTCTGTTCTGCAACCAGTGATGCCATGAGAACCTTCGTTTTGGGGGTTGTCGTAAGAGCACTTTGGTATGGTCTGGTCTTTGTTCTTCTCTTCTCTGTTACAGTCATCTTTATCTGCTTTTAGCAACATGTTCCCATGACAATACTGATTCACCATTAACTTTACCCAGACTTGGTTCTTCTGTGGGGGTTACTCCCTGTTCCGGTCTGTCAAGTATTTCAGTTTATCCTTTTTAGTTTATCCTTTTTAGTTTATCCTTTTCTTCACTCTTGTTGTGAATACCAAGGCTTTCTCTCTCCTCTGAATGATTCATTTTTCCCTCCCCCCCCCTCTTCCTCATTCTTTTTCTCCCTCCTCTCCCTCTTTCCCTCTCTCTGTCTTCTTCACTCCCTTTCCTTCTGTCTCACCCTCACTCCCTTTCTCCCTTTCTCCCAGTCAAAGACGACCCGCCGTTCGCTGTGGAGGTGTTTGAGGACTACCTGTACGTGCTGACTTTGTACGAGGGCAAGGCCCTCAAACTGAGCAAGTTCCACGACTCTCTCGGCCTCCCTGCCCCCAAGGCCACACTCTTTTCCATCCTGCACCACGTCAGGGATTTAGTCATCGTCCAGGAGAACAAGCAGCCCAAAGGTATGGAGTTTAGACACTGTGGGAGTGTCTTTATGAGTGAACTTTTTAATGTTTACTATAGTGGGTGGATAGCAGGTGCTCTGATGTGGTTTGCTCCTTCTTTCCTATCAAACATCTATTGGTGGGTGGTTGGCGGGTGCTTTGGTGTGGTTTGCTTCTTCTTTCCTATCAAACATCTATCATCTTTATCTCCCCTTCTTCTTTTTTATGTTTGTTACTCTCTTGTAACACCTCTAATCTTCTGGCGCTCATATGACCTTATGCAGGTGCGAGCGCCGTAAAACCTCTACTAAAACTAAAACTAAAAACATTTTCTGCTGTCCTTATCTCTCCTCCTACTTTTTTTGTGTTTGTTACTCTCTTGTAACTCCTCTAATTTTATGCGCTTATTTGACATGATTATGTTGCAAGTACCGTAAAAAACTCTCACTTAAACTAATGTGTTTGCTTTTCGAGGAAGATACTGTGGCGCTCCCATTTTGGGGATTGTTTGTGAGAGAGTGAGATATTGGGTGTTAGTATATGAGAAGGAAATACAGTTTAACCTGCTCGTTACGACCACCTGTCAAAGACAATCACCTGTAAACTGATGGGTGATTCTTTTGGATGTTTGTTTTTATGTATTGTTCTTGATAGTTATGTTAAGCTTACTTTTGTTGAGTAGGATTTTTTGTAGGGGAAAGGGGGGGGGGATACTCTCTTTAAGGAGAGTTTATTCTATATTTTACTTACTTTATCCATCCTTTTGTACCTCCTGGGCGTCGAGGGGAGAAAGAGCTCCCTGTCTCTAGCAAGTTTGATGGCCTGGCTGGGTTGGATATTGTATGTTCTCAGGGTATCCTTCATACCCTGGATCCAGGTCTTTCTTGGTCTTCTTCTTGCCTTGTACCCTGATACTTTTCTGTAGTAGGCTTTTCTTGCAAGTTGGTGAGGTGCCGTACGTGTGAGATGTCCAAACCACCTTATTGTTTGCCTTCGAATGTAGTGGAGGACAGGTGTTGTTCCCACCATTTCTCTGATCTTGTTGTTTCTGACCATAGTCATCTCGCAGGTGGTTATCTTACATTCTAGAGTTTCGGTCAGGGTCCATGTCTGGCACTGGTTGGTCAAGGTGAGGATGAAGGTAGAGTTAATGAGCTTGGCTTTGGTCTCAATAGGGATGATAGCATGTTTGAGGAGTGGGGCAAGCTGGTAGCTGAAGCTGTAAGCCTTTTGTACTCTCGTCTCAATCTCTCTGTTGGGACATCCGTCTTCCGAGAAGATGCTACCAAGATACGTGAACTCGCTGACTTGTTTCAGCAGATTTCCGTCAATGGTGGTGTTAAGGTTGCCAGGTCTTCTGCTGATTTTCATCGTCTCCATTTTGGAGTTTATTCTATAGTTTTTTAATGATTAAGAGAAGATAGATCAGTGTGTGATTTCAATTGCTACATCATTGATGCAGGCTAGTCGTTGGAGGGGCCACTAGTAGGTCCCATTTCTTTTCTTTATTTCTGATGTTTCTGTTTGCCATACTTTTTCCTTGTTCTAAATGACCATTATTGTGTCAGTGTGCTCCTCTCTTTATTCAACCTAAACTTCAATCTTACTGGACATTCACCCTTACACTATACTGGCTTTCTTCTTCCCCTACCCCCACAGTGAGTTCCCACTGCAACAGCAGCACCTGCCCTGCCTCCCAGATTTGCTTCAACACACCGGAGAAGGGCCACGTGTGTCACTGCCCAGATAAGCCTGTCATGGAGGATGGAAACTGTTCTTCTGCGGCGGAGCCCACGTGTGATGGCTACTGCCTCAATGGGGGAGACTGTACCCAGGGCAAGGGAAAAGTCAAGTGCAGGTGAGACACCGAGAGAAAGGGGGGGGGGGGAGAGAGAGAGAGAGAGAGAGAAAGATGGGGGGGGGGGGGGGGAGAAAGGGATAAGAGTTAGTTGCTTGATTAGATGTGGGATCAAGCAACCATACATCCACTTCCACTTCCCCTCTTCCTATCCAGTTCACAAGGAAGAACTTTATTCCGTCTATGGTTCCCTCTCCCCAGCTGTGGGTGGTTGGTGAGTGCTCTTATTAAATCAGTACGTTTCTCTTTACTCTTCTTACCAAACTTAAAAACTAAATATTATATCTCCATGTGGGTGGTTGGAAAGCGTGGTTTGCGTCTTGTTTCCTTTCAAACATATATCGTTCTTATCTCTCCTCCTCCTTTTTTTTGGTGTTTGTTAGTCGCGACTCTTTTGTAACTCTTTTGGCAGTTATATGACCTAATTGTGGTTGGTGGTAAGCAGGTGCTCTGGTGTGGTTTGCTTCTTCTTTCCTATCAAACGTCTATCGTCTTTATCTCCCCTCCTTCTATTTTGTGTTTGTTACTCTCTTGTAACACTTCTAGTCTTCGGCACTTATATGACTTTATTGTGTTGCAAGTGCTGTAAAACACTTAAACTAAAACCTGATTGTGTTGCAAGTGCTGTAAAACTTTTACTAAAACAAAACAAACTAAAAAATATCCTCAGCTGCCGACAAGACTTCACAGGTGACCGCTGTGAGAAGTACGCCTGCACTGGTTACTGTCAAAATGATGGCATCTGTGAGATGATCACTGGGGACTCGGGGAGAGAACCTCACTGCTTGTGAGTAGTACTTGTCTGATCATGCTTGGTGGGTGGTTGACGGGTGCTCTGGTGTGGTTAACTCGTTCTTTCCTATCAAACATCTATCGTCCTTATCTCTCCTCCTTTTTTGTGTTTGTTACTCTCTTGTAATACCTCTAATCTTCAGCACTTTTATGACCTTATTGTGTTGCAAGTGCCGTAAAACACTTACTAAAAGTAAAACTTGCTTGTCTTGGTTTGTCTTGTTTGTCCATTGGGGGAGGGGGGGATCTTTGGAGGTCAAGGGGGGAGGTATGTTGCTCATAAGGGGCTGGGAGGTGGGGGTGATGTTTCTATGAAGGGCAATGAGGGAGGGA